TATGGACGGCCAGGGATCAGATGCGAAATCAATATGACCTCGCAAAACAGCATCAAATATGCCATCCTCGTTCTCTGGTAAAACCAAAACCAAAACCAGGGGAGAAAGAAGACAGAGCATCCGTGTCGTGTTAGTAAGGTGACAATGGCATTGGCATCAAGATGTGGCTGGCTGGTTTATGCAGCAGGGCGCAGGGAGACGTACCGGCCCAGAAAGGAGGGACGCCGGATAGCAGGATGTAGAGGATAACTCCGGCACTCCATATGTCCGCCTCAGCTCCGTATCGCCGCTTGAGCACCTCCGGGGCGACGTAGTAGGCGCTCCCAACAAGATCCCTGAACTGCTCGCCTGCATTGCAATCCAATCATCGATCGTTTTCAGTTTGAGTTGAGTTGGACACGCTACAGAGTGGGAGCTGGATCGCTGAGACCAAATCAAACAACAACGATTCCTCCTCTAGACTCTAGTTAAAGCACAAGGCAATCAAACAACAATGATTCCTCGTCTTGGTATGTGCTGAATTCCCACATGAGGATGAGGATGAGCATCTATCTATATCTATGGAATGGAATCGAAGCAGAATCATACATACATAGTGAGTAATCGAATCGAAGCAGAATCATACATAGTGAGTAGAGTGAGTAGGACTGAAATCGAAAAGGCATCCGAAAACGATGGATATCCCTGTGAACACAGTAGTGAAGAGCGAAGGGGATTAGTTAGTTACCGGGCTTGAAGAAGACGGAGAGCCCAAAATCCGTGGCCTTGAGCGGCGAGTCCTCCCTCTTATTAAGGAAGAGGAAGTTCTCGGGCTTTAGGTCGCGATGCATGACCCCCATGGAGTGGCAGCTGTGCACGACGGAGACGATCTCCCTGCAGAGCGCGGCGGCGGCGCGCTCGGAGTAGTGCCCCCGGGCGATGATGCGGTCGAAGAGCTCCCCGCCCTCGCAGAGCTCCATGACGAGGTTGACGGAGTGGCGGTCCTCGTAGGCGCCCCGGAGCTCGACGATGCTGCGGTGGCCCGTGAGGTGGTGCATGATCTGCACCTCCCGGCGGACGTCGTCCACGTCGTCCCGGTGCGCGAGTTTGCGGGTGGCGATGGACTTGCACGCGTACCGCCGCCCCGTCGGCTTGTGCGTGGCTAGGTAGGTCACGCCGAACTGGCCCCGGCCTAGCTCACGCCCGAACGTGTAGGATGCGCGCACGTCCTCCATGGGGCGGCCCAGCACGCGGCCGATGTTCGTCGCCCCGCCCGGGGCGGGGGAGGGGGAGGCGGATGTGGGGGCGGGGGGAGGAGCATGGTGTGGCGGCGGAGGACGCGGAGGTGGGGGCTGCTGCTGCTGCTGCTTGGGCTTGTTGGGGTTGTGGTGGTGGTGGTGGTGGTGGTGGTGCTTGGGCGGCGGCTGCGGAGGCTGGGAGGAGGCGTGGTGGGAGGACTGGTCGTGCGGCTGCGCGCGGTGGCGTGAGGCGCGGCCGCCCATGGCGCGCGAGCGAGTGTGATCAGGAGCTGCGGGAGAGGCCTGATAGAGGGGCCGAAGAGGATTTGGGGGCAGCAGGAGGGGACTGGAGGGAGCATGGGCTGTTGAGGTGGAGGAGGAAGACGAGGAGGAAGCAGCAGCATTGCTGATGGCTTTGGTTTGGTCAGGGGTGGAGGGTTTGCGCGTGGAGACGCACGGGTCGGCGGACGACCGGTCGCCGTCCCCCTCTCCACGGACGCACGGACGCGGTGGGGCGGGGGAGCCAGCGAGCGTGCCAGCCCATGCCTTATCGGTCAACGATTAGGGCGTTGATGCCCAGAGCTGATGCCTGCTGGAGCTGAGCAGCCCGCAGCGTTCGACAGCACGTTCGCTTCCTCGTAGCTGGCTTACAGCCCATACCTTATCGGTCAATTTTTTTCTCACACTAAACTAATTAATAATATTTTTAGTCATAATTTATAAGTCAAATTAGTCCTGGGGCGTGAGTGTGTACTTTGGATAACGAACGAGGCAGTTGCGTCGCGGTTTCCGGGCGTCGACGGAGACGGACGCCACGCGCCCTCTCCCTCCGCTTGCAGTTGCAGACACGACACCGGCGGTCCGGTTTCGGGTCTTGGCTGCCTCTCTCTCTCTCTCTCTCTCTCTGAACCTTCTTGTCCTGTGTCCGTCTGCAGCCTGGACAACTCACACTAGTGTCCTCACCGTAGACCGCACATTGCAACGGTGGGCTCGCGTGGCTGTTCGCTGCAATGAGTACTGTTACAGGAACCAAAAGCCAAACTAGCACTTTTTTTGGCAGTTACTCCCACTGTCAAAAAAAAAAAGTAAGGTTCCTCAGTGTCCTCTGTCCTGTCCATGGATCCATGATCCCATCCCGTGATGTGGTGACGGCGGCGACTCAAACCACCGTGCACACGCGTGTTCCGGTCATAGCAGCTCAAGACGGTCTCCAACAGCCCTCGCCTAAATACGAGATGCATTAGTTCGTCTGGGTCACGCAGGAAAAAAGAGTCACACACTCAAACCTTCCGTTTTCCGACAGCGGACCCAAAAGGAGAGCCCCCAAACAGATCCCTGCATGCGCCACTTGCTTCCCTCCCCGCCGAGCGCCGAGCCGGCCGCGCCAGCCGCTCCCCGTCACGGGCCCGACTCGCCGTCGTCGTCCGCGGGCCCGCCTAGCAGTGTCGGTCGCACCGACAGCTCCCCGTCACGGGCCCGCCTCGCCTCCCCACCCGGCGCCTCCTGCGCGGTCTCCTAAAGGCCAAACATGGTCACGGCGCATATTTGGGTCGAGGAGAGAGACAGACACAGATTTGAGTTCCCTCTCATCTTCAACGCAAAATAGGTCCTCTTTTTGCCTACCTCTGTTGGAGGGCGTTTTTTCACCGTGAATTAGGTATTTTAGATATGAGTAACGTGATGCATAGCCTGATGGAGGGAGTCTGGTAGCCGTAACCATAAGCTCGATAGCCGTCGCCCGCTGGCACCGGGACGGGACACTCGGCGTGTTCGTTGGTTGGTTTCTGAGCTGATTTAAACTGGCCGGTGCTGATTTGTTATGAAAGAAAAATACTGTTAGGTGATTAAATAAGCCAGCTTGAACCATCAAGCGAACAGGTGACTACCGGTAGTCTGGTACACTCACCTCACCCCGCGTCTGCCTCTTGCTGTCCGTCCTCTCGTCATTCACCCGATAACTCCATGGGCCGCATGGGGGATGGGCCATGCCAAATCAAGCTCAACCAATGGATTGAATGATCGAAGCGTGCATGGGAGATAAACAATAGTTTCCATTATTAACGTTATTTATGATATTATCGATATCTGCTTTTGTGTGCACAGCTTCGTAAAAAAAAACAACAACTGAAAACTCCGAGATATCTTCTGCTAAAAAAAACTGACAACTCCGAGTCAGAGAACGCTTCACCAACCTCGTCAGCGCGTTGCGCGTGCCGAGTCCACATCAAATCCTGTCTATCCACCTCTCATGTCATGGATGCCGATGGACCTCTCGCGCCTCGTCGAAGCCAGACCCGGGCGCCGGACCGATCGGAGCACAAGCGCTCGCCCGATCGGTCGGTCAGAGATGAACAGAGAGAAACGCACTGGCCGTCTGCTGGCATCGGACTCCGACAGGAAACGATTGGCCTTCTCCAACGACGACTCCACCCGTTGTCAGGTACTCAGGTCACAGGCAGAGCCATGTCAAAGTGAAACCAAACCCCACTAGTCAAAGTCCTGCTCGTGCTTGGCTTCCCTCCTCAAGGAAATCCGGACGCGGACAGCCCAGCGCGGCGCCAGATCCCCGTGACCGCCACCGGCATCGGTGTCAATTCATTCCTTGCAACCTTGTGTGTCAGAGCTGCAACTCTGATTTCTGACTGGCTGGGACCAGGATCGATCGCTGCCCGATTTCGACTGCCTGGCCTGGGGCTACAACTTGAATCGCTGACCGGACAGCAGGTTAACTGGGACTGGGGCCGCGTTTAGTTCGCTGCCTGATTCGGCGCCGCCTGGGGCTACAAGCATTTTATTTTTATTTGGTAATAATTGTTCAATCGTTGTTAATTGCTCAAAACCGCGCAAAGTACAACAAAGTAATTAGTTTTGATTTTATCAACATTTGGGACTGGGAGTTTGATGTGACGATGAGAATTTGGGGCACCTAAACATGGCCTGGGAGGAGAGTGTGTGCAGTGTGCTCAATCGCTGCTTCTCTGCCGGCCTCCCCTACAGCTTGCCATGCAATCAATACAAACTCCCAGAGAAGCCCATACTACATCTCAACCTGGAATGGAAACCCATGACTTGCCACTAATATATTGCTCCTAATAAACCAGGCCAGGCACCACTTCCTCTCGACAGATGCTTGCCCTGTTAAGCTTGAACTGCTTATCAGCCATAGTATAATATTTTTCTCTCACAACAACCCTGTTCGGCTGATAAACCAGCTGATGTTATTTTTTCATTGCTTTACAACAAGATAGTTTATTGCAATCAGATGATGTCACACCAGGTACTCAAGCTTCTCAAAATCCAACCATACCAGCAGAAGCAACATGAATTTTCGGACTACAAAGCTAAACGAAACAAGGTCAAATGGTCACTCCCCAGTCCCCACCCTGCTTTTCACTCAAAAGACTCAAACTTGCAATGCTTACGACACAAAGTATCACAAGGATAGTAATACTTCACAATGGAACACCAAACAAACTTGAGATTTCTGTCTGCCAATAGAGCAGTCAATCACGGGCAATACAGAATGCAGACGCCACGCTACACAGAGACACCACCACAACGACACTTCTAATTAGTACTAATTACAACAATAACTGGACAGACTTCACACTATGACCTGGCCACCCCCTTATTTCTGCTACATGGGGCAGCTGTTTATGCGGGATCCAAGCATTGCGGCAGCGACAGTTTTGGTCATCCCCAAGACACAAACGACACTACTCAACACCTCCAACCCAGGAAACCGACCGACCCATCCTCCACGAAAATTGCCCCCCTACAACATCACATCCAGGTGCGCATGGCAGACGAAGTCGAGGCCGCGCCATTGACAGAGCAGCTGGCGGCGCTGACATGGCCTCTTCCGGAGAGTAGAGCTAGCAGCCCACTGCCATGAACCCTGCCCTCTGGAAACGGGGTTGCACTGGGCTGCGCCTCGACAGAATCATCATCGTTCCATCCTAGGAAAGCTTCGTCTTCTCCGTTCGCCATATCAGCATCGCCCTTCATTGCAGCAGCCTGCATCTCATCGGACTTGCAATCAGCTGTCAACTGTCTGATCGCAGGACCCAATGAGCCGCCGCCATGGACGCAGTGATCCTCAACCAAAGCGCTGTGACCTGCACAAAGACCAATCTTGCTACGAGCAAACTTGTCACACGGCGGACCACCAACCCCAAAGCTTGAGCCCTCCTGGCCCCATGAGCAGCGTTTGCCTCCGCCATGGGCCTTGCAGAAATCGGTGCTCCCCTGCGCGCTCTTGGCACAGCCCTCAAACTTGCATCTCTTACCACCGCCGTGGCGGACACAGTATTCCGTCCTCCCTCTGGCACTCTTGGTACAGCCTGAGACTAAGCACCTCTTCCCACCACCGTGAGCAACACAGTACTGTGTCCCACCGTGGACACTCTTTGGGCACACACCGCCACCCTGGTAGGAGCAGCGCTTACCTCCACCGTGCCCCTTGCAGAGAGAAGTGCTACCTTCAGCTCCTTTGGTACAGCCGGGGAATGTGCAGCGCTTCCCTCCACCGTGCGCCTTGCAGAACTTTGTGCTTCCCTGGGCACCCTTTGTACAATCTGGAAACTGACAGCGCCTTCCACCACCATGAGAGATGCAGAGGCCAGAGTATCCTTCAGCACTTCTCTTGCAGTTCTCCCTCTGGCACCTCTTGCCGCCTCCATGCTTGATGCACAAGCCAGACTTTCCACGCGCGGCGCGTGAACAGCCTTCCTGACTACAACGGCGACCGCCACCATGGGCTATGCAGTGCTCAGTGCGGCCTTCAGCACTCTTCGTACAACCAAGATACTGGCATCGCCTACCACCACCATGTGCTTTGCAGTAGATGGTCCTTCCCTCAGCTCCCTTCTGGCAACCAGGTTTCTGGCATCGCCTACCACCTCCATGGGAAATACAATAACCAGAGGCTCCTCTTGCTCCTTTCTCACATCCTGGGAACTGGCAGCATTTAGTGTTAATGCTCCGTTTTTGGGAGTTAGTTGCCCCAGAAGTACAGGCAGCTGGGCTTTTCACACTCACTGTAATGGCTGATGAGACATCTGGAGAAGGCACCGCATCATCAACCTTTTCAGATATCTTTGGCAATGAAAAGTTGTAGGTTGCTTCAGAAGCATATGATGATGAAGCTATATAATGCCTGAAAACCCAACTAGAGGAGGGCTCGAGTTTTTCCCCAATAGCATCTGTCACCAAATTAGGTGCCACTGTTTCTAAGCCATCATTAACATTTATTGATGCAGTACTTGCATTGGTCACAGCTGATTCAGGCGAACAAGTGGACAAACTCAACTGAAGATCCAATTTGGGAGCACCTGCTGATGGCACATGCTCAGCACATGGCTTCTTGTGATGATGTGCAGTATCATGACCAAGACAAAGATCAAAATTGAGACCAAGATCCATTGATGACTCCTCATCAGTCTCTTTCAGTGAAGATGGAGACATCATGCAAGCTGTGGGGGAGCTAACCTTGCTATTTTCAGAGGAACTTGGTGAACGGCCCAGACCAAGGGTGAGCAGTGGGTTTTCAGGACCTTCCACTCCAGCCATATCAACCCACTTCCTTTTCAGTGCTCTCCGATTGTCTCTAGAGAAGTTGGAATACAGTAGTGTGCCAATGGCAGAACCTTTGTACTCAACCGCTTGCTGAACTGTGCTCCAGTGACAAGGATCGTTCAAGGAGTTAATATTACCACCAGATCCAAGGTTTAGGGAGGCCCTGTCCATTCCAATCAAGAAACATAACCAAAGATGAAAAGAAAAGAACCTGCTGCCTGACTTCCGGAAATCAAAACTCTACTGTCATCTACTGTACTGGGTTAGAAGTCTCAGCAGGAATGTTTGCAACCTCCACTAACAAAGCCAGCCACATCATCACGATCCATTTCTCGCCACTTTCAAGAATGAGAGGAGAATGGTGAGGTTTTGAGCTGAGCTTCAGTTTCTGGAAGGGCCAATAGACCTGCAGGTTAACAAAAAGCAATAGTAGATTAGAAAAGGCCAGGTAGAGGGTAGAATCTGATGTGAAACCAGCTTTTGAAAAATTTCACATCCTATTGTGTGGACAAAGAGCGAGTACTAGCAACACAAAACAAATCAACAGTACTTTACAGAGAAACAGGAGGCTCCACAGTAGCATTAGGCAAGAGGTTCAAGATAGCCCACTGAACAAATCCCACATGCCTTGTGTGGTTGATATAGCACAAAGTAGTACGAAATAACAGTTGTTTAACCATAACCCTAGATTCTTGTACTACTACAAAAATCTGTTTATATGATGTATGAGCAGAAAGGTTAACAAAGGTGACCACTAGGCAGACAGGGGGAAAAAAGGGTTCGGTAAAAGATGATGGCAACTATGACCACGCGAAACCACAGTGCAGGACTGCAGATTGCATGATGCATCACAAGTAGATGGGCAACTACAGTCTATTGCACGTAGCGGGTGCCGTGCAGATCGCACTACACAACTTGCAGCGCAGATGTTTTCCTTTGCTATCACACAGCCACTTCCACCGTCTGTCTGTCGTTTGCACTTTGCAGGAAATTTCATCAGTGTAGTAGTATAGTACCGAGTAATAGGCAGACACTTTTATCCGACAAGAACAGCTAGCGCAAGGACGACACCAATCTTTTCACTTCTGTAAATAAATATTCTTTTTTTCCTCCTCTAAGTGTCTTCTTTTCAATGGAGGAGGAATACCACATAACAGCGCTAGTATTTGCAGTGCAGGTGAAATTTGAAGATAAACTAACTGGGGAAGGCAAGAACAAGTTGACAATAAGAACAGGAAAAAAAACTAAATAAAGGAGAGCAATTTGAACTCGAACTCTATTTTGAAACCGAAGGAATCGGCAGAGAGGGTCTCGTGGAGCGCATTGGAAGCAACAGCCAAGGACGCCGCGGAGGGAGTCACAGGGAGACAGACAAATCCTCCATCGTTTTACATGTTAGACACACGAACGGCGGTGGCTACAGATCCGGCCGGAGCCAGCAGCGCCTCTGCCGAAGCGGAGCACTGGGTACCTACCGGAACGCCGGGAGCAGACCAGATCTCTTCTCTGCCTAAAGCCAAACCGGGAAACGAAACAATAACAAGAGAAGGAACGAACGAACGGAGAAGCTCCTAGTTTTCTTCCGGCGCCGGGAGGAACGGAATTGGTGCCAACAGAGTTTCAACCAACGCGTATACGCACAAAATAGCATGAGGAAGGAAGGCAGGGGGTCGCCGGTGGCTACCCCCGCTCCGCGACCATCCCGAAAGCCAAGGCCCCTCGTGCGTTTCCCCGGCTGGCTCCAGCACCGAATCCAGCGACAGAGAGAAGGAAGCGCCAAACAGCACAGGAAGGAAGGAAGGAAGGAAGGAAGGCGAGGAGGAGGAGGCCTAGCTCACCTGGCGGCAGCGGAGCGGGGGAGACGAGGAGACCCGGACGGACGGATGCGGCGGGCGCGCGCGGGAGCCGGGACGGGGACAGGGATGGGGGGCGGCGGGCGGCGTCTGGTGGACGGTGTTGGTGGTGTGCGCAGGGGATAAATCGAGCACGCGAAGCGAGGGGGGCAGCCGGAGGAGGCGCAGCGCAGGCGGCTTATAATAAAGCGGCTGCGGGAGGAGGGACGTGGTGGGGTGGCGCCGCGGCCGGCCGCGGCAAATCGCTGGAGCCACCCGCCCCGCCCGCGCGCCGCGGAGAAAAGGCGATGATGACTTTTGTTGCGCTCTGCCTCTGCTCGCTGGCCATTGACTTTCTTCCCGCTGCAGTTACATTTCCTGCGTTTTCTTTTCCTTCTTCGGCAAATATTTCAATGAAGCTCAATTTCAGATTTTTATTTGAATTCACCTCAAATCAATCAGAAGCCATTACTAAAAGGTTCAAACCCACGGGAGCTCGTCGAATTCGCTCTACCACGAGGAATTGAGCTTCGCGGCTGCTTTTTTACCATTTTACCATTGCTTGCTTACTGGGTCCCACGGCTACGCCCCCAGGCCGATACTGTTGCACGGGCCCCGCGTGTCCGTGTCACGGGGCAGGGCGGGCATGTGCGCGTGTGTAAACGTGTGCCGTGCCGGCGGGCGGGCGGGCGGGCGGGCGGCGGCAGCAGCAGTTCGCCGCCCACCGTCCGTGGTGCGCGCGCCGCTGGGGCCCGCCGCCTTTGGACGTGTTGGTGACCTGCCGGGGCCCGTCAGTCCAGACGAGGGAGCGACGAAGGAAAGCCGCCGTCTGCTCCAGCTCAAAAGACACTCCAGATTGTTATATAGAAATTGTACAGTTTCTTCCTAGCAGATTATTTTTACAAAATTATTATATATATACAATTACTCTCTAAGAAGTTAAATATTTTAAAGTTCGATTAAATCTATTTTAAAATAATGATATGTGTATTTTCATGGTAGATCTATTTAAAGTTAAATTTTAATAATGTTTTCTATAAATAAATTTAGTCAAAATTAAGAAACTCGACTCAATCTAAACCTAGAGGTACATTCTTTTTGAAACAGAGGCAGCAGCAGCAAGTGGCAAGAAGTAGTAATTTTGTCATCAAGTGAGCATAAAACTACTCCAAATTGAACTTTCAATCTCATGATAATGATGTCTACTAAAATAAAATAAAACAAAAGGAAAAAAAGGAAAGTGCATTGTGTGTGTGTATATATATATATATATAAGTACTATGCATTTAGGTACGTGTTTGACCGGATGGAGCAACTGAATGGCGGTGCTTAACGAGCTGCGCATGGCCGCCCCTTTTGGATGCCCTTGCCGTGCGTGCTGCCTGACCGAACAAATTCCATTCCTTGTTGCTGATGAGGCTTCTTCTTCTATCTAGTAGCGCCCCGGCCTAGCATCAGTCATCAGAGAGAGAGAGAGAGAGAGAGATAAGGAGGACTGGAGGAGGAGGAGCAAAGAGCAAAGCCCAAAGCTTGCGGCAACTGGCGATGGAGAATCTATCTATCTTTCTTTCTTTCTATCTTTCCTTGAGCCCAGCTCGCCCATCCATCGGCTCAATAATGCTGTGCTATCATATGCTATATGCTGATGCTATCACCCCCTTATCACCTGTCTCGTCGTTGCTTGCACAATACTGTCACTCACTACTATACGTACCTAGGAGTGACGTATGTACGTACTCCATGCATCTCTCAATGAGTCAATTCTCAACACCTACCGTAAGCTACCTGCTGTGCTCGGTGAGTGTAGCTAGGCAAGATAGCGTAGTCCTCTGTCTCTAAATATTTATTGTTTTCGTTTTTTTAAAATAACTTTAACTAAATATATATGAAGAAACAATAATATTTATGGTACATAATTAGTATCATTAGAAAGATCTTCGAAGTTTTTAATAAATTTATTTGATGATACAAATGTTGCATATATTTTCTACAAATTGAATCAAACTTGTGACATGCACGTCAACGATGACAATTATTTAGGAACGGAGGGAGCATGTAGCATCTGTTGTGTGCACTCGTCTATCCTCTCTCTCTCTTCAGGTGTCTTCTCTGTTCTCAAGATATATACTACTGTACTCATTGTCCATCCCACTGGAAAAAAAGGTCCATTGCCAATTTTAGCAGCAACCTTTTTGTATTCAGGCCTTGCAAGCAAGGTTTGCAACGGAGAGTAGTATACTTATAGAGTGTTTAGTTTAATAAAATGAGTTAGTCCATCGTCTACTCATTCCTCACTTTTTTATTTGGTTTATGCAATGAAATAGATCGATGCATCATCTCATCATTTGTCACAAGCTAATAACTAGTGTTAGAATGAGAAATGGAGTCACTCCACCAAATTTGAGAAAGACTCGTGATGCACCACCGTATATCAAGATAGAGTAATTCTTCAAACTAAGCACCATATTAGTACCCTTTGTATCCTAAAAGGAGTGCAATTATAAATTTGAATGAAGTTATTTAAAAAAAAAAGTTTAACTGAGCACATAAAAATATAATGTCAACCCTTATATTCCAAATAGATTTACTATGAAAATATATATTATATCTAATCTAATAATACTTTTTTGATATTATAAATGTTATATAGATTTAGTTGAATTTAAAAATACTTGATTGTAAAAAATAAAAATATACTTTTCTCACCAAAACCAATCTCCAATCCCCGCATGCCACATGCTCCACCGGCTGTTGCAGAGTGCTGCAGGATATCTTTTTTTCTGCTTGCGTTGGGGCATTGGTCTCTGCATTCTTGGCACGTCCACGTCAAAAGCAGCCATTTTGGTACCGTCCAGAGTACAACAGAACCACTCCATGAGCATATCCTCTCCTGATGCCATCCTTCCTTCTCTTGATCTCTTTCTCTTCTCCGACAGTCGTAGCTAGTGCTGCCTCTCAAATCACTCCTTTCTCTATTTTCCTTTGGCTGTCTCGCACTCTAGCTACTGGGGTTACTGTGGCCCGGCGGCTGATAACATGGACTTTTGCGCTTTCTAGTTGCTCATTGCACTGTTATTAGTATTGCTACGGTGAAAACCTTTTTTTCTGAACTAAAAAAAACTTTTTTTTCTCTCTCTCTCTAATCCTCTTTTTTGTTTTTACTGGCCGGTGGCTCAAAACAAGTACGAGGATGCTATATATGATGCAGACTCGCAACGACCTCGATGACGGCAATTCAGATTATTTGCTTCTAGATCGGCAGATCCAATTGTTGTTGCTTTCTCCTTAAGCATGTGATTATTTGCTAGCAACGCAAAATTAGGTCTCGTTCGCTAGTCTAAAACTTGACTGAAAATACTATTCCGACTAATTTATTGTGAGAAAAACGTTGTTCGGCTAATTTGATAAACACAACCAGCTAGCTGCACGAGTCCAGACCAGCGAACACGAACACCACCTTAACGGGGGCGACTGACACAATAATGGGATATATTACATGCGTCTCGGGTGCATTATATAAGTTTATGTTGCTGTCACGTTAGTTGATGCCCAGGAATCTTTCCTAGTAGACGACGTACGGTGCATTTCTTTTCTTTCTTCCTCATGCTGCATCGGTTGATGCTTGCTTTTCTTTGCTCGTCGATCTGTCATGCCACTTGTCGCCTTCTCCCTGCCATGCCAAGCCAAACCCACATGCTGCCACAGTGCCACATGTCACATCTCACATGAAAAATATTACAACGAGGCACCGGTAAGGAGGTGTTGGGATCCTAAATTAAAATTTAGGATGTGTCATGTGAGGGTATTGTATGGGTATTCGAATACCAATAAAAAAATAAATTATAGAATTCGTTGGTACTCTACGAGATGAATTTATTAAGCCTAATTAATCAGTCGTTAGCACATGTTTACTGTAGCACTACATTGTCAAATCATGGGTTAATTAGGCTTAAAAGATTCGTCTCGCAAATTAGTCACAAGCTGTGTAATTAGTTTTGTAATCGGTCTATATTTAATACTCCATGCATGTATCAAACATCCGATGGGACAACACCTAAATTTTAGAAGGAGAAACCAAACAGCCCCTGAACTCACAACCTTTAGATCTTACTTACCTTTAATTTCTTTATTTAAGCACAAAAGCAGAGAGGTGTAATTGCAATTTCGCAAATTAAAGCTAGGGACAAAAGGGATAATACCAATAGTTAGAGATTGGACAAAAACAGTCTGAAATAGCCAGGAACGATTAGGAGAGGCCCAAATTGTTTTCTTTTTCGTTCCTTTTCATGGAAATAAAAGTCGAAAATGATATTACCGCAAATGAATAGCCACCAATATTGTGGTATATCAATAAAGGTCAGTAATTGATAATGGATAGTAAAGAAAAAGTCTACATTATATCATGCCATACATAAGAATGATAAGCCAAATCTCCAAAGACATGTTTTATTGTTTTTTGAACGAACAATCATATTTTACTACTCACGCAAGTTCACATAAACATGTTAACTGATGGGTTCAAATATCACAAAATTGTAGAAGTGTATGATATATGAAAACATGGTTTAATATTTTGGGGATTTTTTTTGTTTTAAACTGTAAACTGGTAAAATGGTCGAGAATATTGAGAATTATTATTTAGTGCTCAATTAGAGATTAATCCAAGAATATCTTTTCACTCTTCTCTCTTTCATACATGTAACCGTTCACGTGGACTCTGTATATATGTATATATGTACACCATTAGAATACAACATAGAATTATTTTGCATCAATCGATCTCTCTCCTTCTCTACTTTTCTGACAAGTTATCAGCACGTGCTCTCCACTGTCGCTGAGAAGCCAGAAGAGAAGAAGTTCGCCAGGGAACTCGCCGGAGAGTTGGCCGGCGTCGCTGTCTCCCCTGCACGCACGCTGTTCTTCCCTGAAAAAAAAAAGCCGGTAAGTATTCCCTGGAGAAGTTGCAGTTCCGACCACCGTCAGCGACGAAACCGAGAAGCAGAAGGCTACGCTCGTCTGCTATGCTCCTCCACCCTTCGTCCATGCATGGGCCATGGCCGGCCGCCCGGGCGGTGCACATGTTCTTCGGCGATCTCCTTGGACAACGCCGTTAAGAAGGACGAATAGAAAACAAGATCGGCCTTGGAGATTCAACGGTGACACAAGTCACAGAAGAAGAGGCAAACTTGCTTGCGTCTACAAGAAATTGAATAGATAGAAGGTACGAACTTGTTGAATGTGGTCGTCATTGATTACCTTTCGGTTGGCACGGTACGTAGTTGTTCTCGCGACTGTGTGCCTGCGCCCTTTGCACGCGATGGTCGCAAACCGATCCACGCTACGCCGAGGTTGCTGTGGCTCAGAGCGACAGCGATGGTCGGAGCTCGCCACGACGCCACGGTGGTTACCGCTCCTGTGCCTGACGGCCCGTCGTTGGTGGCACCCTCCCACACCCGCGGACGCTCCTGCGCCGGCGGCTGGCGACCCCGCGCGGCGTCCTCGGCCCGGCGCTTGAGGCCTCGCGCAGCACACACCGGTGGCGACGGCATCCATGGCCGAATTCGGCGCAGTTTGCGGCGGCGTCCGCGGCTTGGCGCTGGCGGCCGGATCCACGGTGGCGGCGCGCCCTTCGGTCGGCGCAGAGGCGGTCGCGCCCCTTCGGCCCGGAGCAGGCGGCTACGCCCCTCCGACTGGTAACAGCGGTGGCGGCCAGTTTTGGCTTCGGCCCTGGCGGCCAGTGCTCTTCGCGGCCGGGCGGCCGGCCATGCGGCCCCGCGCTTGTGGCCTTGCGCTGCAGCGGCGGCCCCGGCATCCTCGCTCCGGCGGCCGGAGGCCAACCCGACAACCATCCGTGCGGCCATGAGGCTGAACGACGGGAAACCGTCCATGCCTTCGTGAACCCGTGAAGGGATAGGACGTCCGGATGGATAATGTTGTGTTGTTTTGCACAAAAACACTTCTATTTTCTCTTAATTACATGATAATCCGATTGGGTTATTACAGTATTCTTATTTTATGTTTAGCCTCGATACATCACTGCAAATATTGCATTTATATATCCTATAAATGCTCGTTTTAGACCTCATATCTAAATAAATTATGATGCAATTATTTACCTAGGGTAAATAGATAATTTTGAGGCATATTAATTCTCATAAATTACATCATGATATTATATTGCAATTGAATTTACTATGATAATGTTTAGACATCTTTTTCTGTGTCTATAAAGTTTTACTCCTATACGTTGTTTTATTTTTAGATCACAAAATTTGTTCATGTCTAAACATACATAGTTTGTTGATTTTGGTTTCGGCAATTAATTCTAATTGCAACAAAATCGATCGTCTTAATTAATTGATAGTTAATTAAGGTTGGATGATTTTAGGCTCATATGAGCCTAATTTGGAAAAAACAAAATGGCAGCCAAACCATTTTTGTTACTAAGGCTAACATAGGAAATATATTTTTGTTTTGATCCAACGGGATTTGCATAGTTATGCCACTAACCAACTATAGCACTATGTGCTTAGTAAGTTTCTTGTTTTAACAGTATTAGTATAGTAGAGTATTTATTCTTATACTTTGTTGATCTTATTAATTTGATAATTTTCCATAATAAATTACATCTTAACAATGGTAGATCATCTTAATTAAGCATTTCTTAATTAATGATAGATTATGCAAAATTATTATATTCATGTCTTGAATACATTTGGGATATCCTAACACAAGTGATGGAGTCCTATGCATCGGCTGCGCTTAATTCATATTGAATTATTCGGCCCAGAGATCATGCCTATGGCAGCGTTATTCGCCCATTCGCTGAGACGTCTACATCATATTTATTTAAACTTGATGATTACCTACATTGTGTTGTCCCAAATAAGTGTTTTTGAAATATGAGAATGGTACACTTTTATGGTGACTACCATCGTTCATTATTAATTGCTACACATAGGTGGTAGAGTTTTAAGCATTGGTGCGGTATATTCATGCAAATATATCAGCCCAGAGACCGTGCCTATAGTAATAATTTATTTGCCTACTGCTGAGAGATCTACTCTATGTCTTAGACATAGAGATTATCTACAATATGTGTGTCAACATTAATAATGATTGTTCGTGAGATCTACACATCTTGTGATTACCTCTAATTGTTGTGATGTTTACAATTTTATGATTACCTCCAACTATCCAAAACAAAGTAAGAAGATATGGAACCCCTAAATTTTTCAATTGGAGATTACAACATCACCATAGTAATTTTTAATTTACCATAGGTGTAAATTAATTAAATCAATGGTCTATCACATGTTGAGAATACTGACTTTAGAGGAGTTTCAAGAACTTGCTCTAGATGGCATCACTATCCCACATCAACTTTTTATCCCATGGACTATTGGAAGAATTTAATGAACCTCAATTAGGGGTTGTTTGTTATGGATCAAAGGAAATTATGTCTTACTGTTGTTAAGGTACTACATGTCCATAAAGATTTTTTATAAGATTATCTTGTGGGAAGAAATGCACATTCTTCGTGGCTCACTCTTTAAGAGTTTTATGAATAATAAATAAACTCATATAGCTTGAGGCTAATCATGAGTGGATCATGTCTCTAGTTTTTCAAACTATTGAAGACTACGATCATATTGTTCATATAATTTGCTTCCACTAGTAAAAGCAAAAGGCCTAATGTGCAATATAAGTGATGGCAATGTGAACCCAAGAATGACAAAGCTTAATGTCATATATGTGGTTGTGTTTAGCATAGTGCTAAACAATGCCGTACTCTTAAATTTGTAGTTGGTCTATATCAACATTCTATAAGGGATGAAACATGAGCTACAAAAATAAGATATGACGGGTGCTTCAATTTTAAAATCTGAAGCTACATAGGAGGTTGGTTGTTTATGCTGGATCTTATGGGATCACATAACAACACTTCTCCTTTTCTCGTAAAGAGAACATCACATAGATGGACAACATGATCACCGAATATGCTTCGAATGATTTGTTTTGAGATTTGGGATAATCTCATGGTCCGTTGATAATATGTGATAATGTCCATCGAAGATGTTGTAATACTTGTGTTGTCAACGCATAACTATTGTGGGTATCATATTGATGTATTTGATACTCAACAATATTTATGGATTTCTATATATTAGACGAGAATTTTAATAAATTCTTGTCATACATAGATTGTACGGGGATCATTCCAAGATAGAATGATATGTGCCTAGTGGACATTTGTACCACAAACTTTATAATTAGGGAAGCAAAATGTTCCTGATTCTTATGACAAGAAGATGGAATAATTTTGATCATCGTTGATGTGATGCAATGATAGTTTGGCCTATTTTGCTACTATCATCCTTCTTATGGATACTAAGTTAGTGATTGAGGATATTTCTTATGTCCTAATTTACTTGTATCTTACTAAATTATAGAGATATCCAAATGTATTTTTATATGAAAACACAAAAAGACAACATTGGATATGACATATAAGTAATGAGATAAGTCTCATTTTCGGTTGTATTATGCATACAACCATCCCCATACAAACATGTTGCGTATAAGATAATTTTTCACACTATTGATACATTCTAGATTTGGAATGATCAACTTGGCCATCCAAAGGGATGGGTGAAAAATTATTGATAATTCTTTTGGTCATGATTTTCCCAAAGTATGGCTACGATAAGTGCCACAGGAAAACAGATTTTAAGACCCTCTTATCTTAAAATCAGATTGAATATCTTAGATTTCTTGATCATATTCAAGAGAATATGTATGGGTCCGATACAAAGATTGTATTGATAGTTCAGGAATTTTATGGTTGTGAAGATATATCTATAAGATGATCTATAGTGTGTGAAGTATCCACACTCAGCCATGCATTTGGTAAATAATGGCTCTTGTTGTGAGCTCATTATCCTGAACACTACTGAACTTTTGTGCCTACAATGACGATTGTTTGATATATCAAAAGTTTAGTTACATATCCAAAAGGATAAATGTAATCTATGAGTATGACATCAAAGTCATAGCAGGACCATTGTTAGTGAATTGCTATTTGCCAACTTCGTATTGGGGTCAGGCAGATTTACACACTCCTGACTTGTGATTAACTGCATATCCCCTATATGCATTTAGTACGTGGGAATCCATGAATATTTCCTATTTGTGTAAGATTAGGTTACGTTGTATACGTACCAATCTCACCACTGCAGCGTACATTCATGGGTACACACAGGAAACTGAGGATCAATGTGAGATTTCAATCTCCATCAATTGTTAAGTATCTTGGACCTCCTATGGATGGTCTATTTACGGCCTCGTACGCTGGTTGTAGTTAGATAATGAACATTTCTAGGCATTAGAGGGAGATTTGAACTACCATATATAATGCCAGGAAATTATTTGGAATGCATGACATTTTTAGCTCAGGATCACGTACTAAATGAACTGAATTTTGAGTTCAAAGAATTGTTGATTTACATAATATTACAAATAAACTGCCAAATGCATTTACTGATTACTAAGGTGTCTGTTAAACTTGTTAATCCGTTGCAAGTATGTGCTAGAAAGAGTGGTGGTACCAAGTAAAACCACTCAACTCCCAATTGTAAATAAGAGGGGGAGAAAGTATGGCCATAAAACAGGATTATTCATGCTAGCAATATAAGGTTTTTCTTCTAAGACAGTAAATGCAGGACAACCTATGGTTGGTGACATTTTGTGGGTAAATATTAGTTATTACCCAGTGGATGGATGTCATCCATAAACCTAGCTCAGAGGCGCACTTAAATACTGATGCTGGGATATCGAAAAGCCCTGACTCTCATTTCGAGAAATCACAATGAGTCATTCAGGGTATTGAGTTTTGATAACCGGAGAATTATATCATAGAAAGGCTACATGTGTCGACATGTACTTCTCTGAATAAATTGTATACAACATTCTAAGTCATCTAGTCAATAAGACCATGGCAGGGTGCTTTACTCACTCTTACTGGAACTTATTGAGGGATGTAACACATACAGAGATAGTCTTGCTCACCAGAAAAGAGGTCCAACACCTCATGGTACCTTTACTGTGGGTACAAAAGTGTTTTCGTCCTAGAATGGATTAAGAACAATGTGGTGGTGAGATCAAAGCAAGACTAGTAGCACAAGAGGTTTACACAAAGCCTAGGCATTGATTTTCAATGCAAATTGTTCTCCATAGTAAGTTATAAATTTCCGATACTATCTTTTGACTGGTAGTACAAAAGCATCTATCATTACAGTTGATAGTTGATAGATGTAGTGACTGCATATATTTATATGATCACTTGATTTGGTGTATTTGTGAAGCTTCTAGGAAGGAGTTCACATACCCAACCCTCATACATAAAATCGCAACACATATTGTGTATTGCTTAAGTCAATAATGGCTTAAAGCAGTTAAGTCTAATTTAGTACAATCGACTTGTGTATTTCCTAAACTGAAGGGATACAAGATTGATTACATGTGGTGTTCATTGTGAAGTCCTTGATTGAATTTCATAATGTTATATGATAGTCAATAATCTTGACATCATTAGTGATGAACACATGTTAATAGCATGTTGTAATCTAAAGATGGAGTTTGAGATGGAAGATATGGACTAAACCAAATTTTTGTTTTGTGTTTATAATCCAAGCATCTTCTCTCAGGATTTTATACAAAAGCTATATCAATATCCAAATCATATTGAGTGATTCAATATGAAGGTATTCTATGGTTGTTCTACCTCATGATAGAGGAAGATTGTTTTATGCC